TTCCTCTTTTCATGTTGCTTTCATTTTTCAAATCTGAAATCCCAGTTTAGGATTACAGATTATATGCGGAACCACTCCACAAACAGGTATTCATGACTGTGTTGTTATTGTATATGGATACCCAGTGTGATTTAGTCAACAGAGTGATGGACTAGGACTCTGGCGACCAGGGTTCAAATCCCCTCACTTGGCCATAGAAACTTACTGGGGGAGTGGAAATAGTAAATCACTCCTTAAATATCTCACCTTGAAAGCCATGTTAGGGTCACTATAAATTGGTTCTAACTTGACAGCACATAACTAACTGTATATGACAACTGTGTATAACTTGATTCACACTGTAAAATGAAGATATTTTCACAATACTGTAAATATTTCATTTTCATTTAGCATAAGTCCATCTCTCTCAAAAATGTCCAATATGTTTCCTGCAAAAGAGTCCAATTCTTGAGTAACTGTCTAAGAAAAACCTCATCTTAACTTATATCTATGAAGATTCTCAATAATCCAGCTGAAGTTATCTGGAAGTTGAGCCATGGCAACTGAACTTCTTTCTTATTAGTTTGAAACGTTTCACTTCTCATCCAAGTAGCCTCTTCAGTCTGAGGAGAGTTGGTAGGAGACCCCTGATATATCCTCCACATTGGTTTCACTCACACTCACACTTACACACACACCAGTCCTTCGTCCATCTAACAAGGCTATTCAGACCAGGGGGAAGTGAAACCAACATGGAGGATATACCAGCGGTCCCCTACCAACTCTCCTCAGACTGAGGAAGCCACTTGGATGAGTAGCTAAACATTTCAACCTAATAAGAAAGAAGTCCAGTTACCATGGCTCAACTGCCAGACTCATTTTGATATGCAAAAACAGTCACATTCCATAAGGGAAATCTGTAGCTAGAAGCAATTTCCCACAAATGTAAGTGATGCACTGCATTATGATGCTCATCCACTCATTGAAATAACTCAATGAATCTTTTGATTTCCATCCTGGGTCAGAAGCAGCTGTTAGAGAAAGATCATAATTAGAGTAAAAACCACTTCAATATTACAGTGATGACTTAAGGCAATCTTCTTAAATTTTTGCTTAAAACCTGAAGAATAATCTCAAGCAAGCTAATCTGCATAATCCTGGACATGAGAAAAGTTAGTGCTGTGAGCTTGTTAAGAATCTCCTCTTTCAGACACAGGTTATCTCTAGCACCTGTATCAGGCCAAAATCCATAATCACAAATTGTTACAGATGATTATTTGCCTGCAATTAGTGATGGATCAGGGCCATCAACAGAAACAGTTTCTAAATAAACATTATCTAAATCTTTAAAAAAAACACAAATACCAGAATATCTGATTTTTTATTTTGTAAATGTTTTTTACTCATGTAATCATCAAGCTTTAATTTAAACATTAATGCTGATGCTATTGTAGATTCTCTTCACAGCCTGCAGTTGATGAAATATGACACTACACAAAGCACTGTACTGTACTTCCCTTTCCAGCCAAAATAAGCTACCTTTATTTAAAATAATAAATAACAGTATTTTCCTAAGAAACACAATGTTATCTACCTCAAAAGATTAATCTGTAACATGTAGGGACTAAACAAGGGGTACACATTTCAAAAAGCTTTCCTTTAAATAAATGGAATTTACTATAATTAGTATTTCACTTCTATTTTAAAAGATAACATTAGGAAAAACTGTACGTAACCAGCTCTATAATTCATGTCATCAATAAACAGAAACAGCTTCTCCTCCCATCCATGGTTCACAATATATTTGCATATGTATGCATTTCTGAAATGCTATGATTAAATGTTCAATAATTTAGTCAGTCCTTTTAGGAAAAATTCATTACACAGACACATGTAAGGACTCTGAAACAAACATACAAGGCTGAAACAAATCAATCTTAGATACAGTATATTACTCAAAGTGACATCATAATAACACATGTTACATGTCAAAGGATTAAGAAATGTTAGAACTACTTGGTTTCCTCTCTTCATATATAAAAAACATATTCCTTCAGCAGGTAACGGCATATTACCAGTACCTGAACAAAGAAGGTTGCTTATTATTTCATAAAGTGCATGTAACTATTATATTCGTATACAGTATCTGCATTTAACTGCAGTTTGTTTTCTAAAAGCCACAAGTCATCTCTAGATTCTAGACCTGGAAATAAAGTTAAATGTGTTATAATTCAATTATCAGTGGTTCTCTTCTTGCATGGTTGAAGCAGAATAATGCACCTGACATTTAATACTACTGCTCAGTGCATCATTTGCTATATAACCGATCCTATTACTAAAATGAATACTCTTCAAACCTTTTCTTCTACTACTGTTAAACAAATTCCATGGACTTAGAAACTTAGATGAATTTTTCATGCCTCTATAAAAAATTGTGGAAGAAAAAGTAATCCCAAGCAAACCTTGCTAAGTACAAATAGTCAATATTGCAATAAAGGTAATATTGCAAACACCGTTGTTGACCTTCAAAAGCTCTTAACATCCAGTATCCTCTTGCTAATCTCAAACAGAAAGTAGACCCCACTGAATCAAATGCAGCATTGACGTGACTCTAATTTAGTCAATGGGTCTACTCTAGCTGGAAAAAGCAATAGGACACTGGCCAATACTGCAGTAGTCTGAAGAATAAATCTGAAAGACCCATTTCTGCTAATGCTTAATTGTGTTCCTATTCTCTACTGCAGCAAAAGTCCACTTAAATATCCAGCAGCATTAAGATAGTCAATGCGATAAAATATATATTATACTTGAAATAGTCACACATTTTAACACTACCTCTCCCCAAGAAGCCTCTTTCAACAACAACAGCAGCTTATGCTATAATAAATCTGTTAAGTCTTCTAGATGCCAGAATCTCTTTGTTCTTTTCTAGAACAGACTAAGGTTATATCTTTTAAAATTACTTTTAACATAGTTCACTGACCATACCACAGACTACAATTTTTTTTACAAATTTCTCAAAATCAGCAGGAGTATCCTCATCACTGCTGACTACTCAATGGACAGTTTCTAGAACTAGTATTTACTATTGTGTTTCCCTGAAAATAAGACAGGGTCTTATATTAAATTTACTCCAAAAATGCATTAGGGCTTATTTTCAGGGGATTTTTTTTTCATGTACAACTGTATTTATTCAAATACAGTCATGTCATCTTGTTCTGGCTGCTGTACAATGGGGCTTATTTTGGGGGTAGGGTTTATATTACGAGCATCATGAAAAATCATACTACGGCTTATTTCAGGTTAGGTCTCATTTTTGGGGAAACGGTATAATACAGGCACCTCAAGTAATGATACTTTAATTATCACAACCATTAGTCACAAAATAGACCACAAGACACCATCTGGACACCAGTTTAACCTACAGGGACAATTACTGGCCACATAAGGCCACATTCAGTTTTTCTGCAAATTGTAGAAACAGCATTAATATTAATGCTAACATTGCAATCCTAAAGTTGCATCTGCAAATACATGTTTAGGATGGGACATAAAGTCTTCCTTTATGAGCACTGCAGTCTGCAGCTTGGCAGAAAGCTATTCTTCGGTATGCACTGACTGCAAGATGTACACTGCTAACCCACCAGCACAAAACTAACAACAAATGTGTAAAACCATGGCTATTCAAAAAGGGAAGCAAGAAATACAGATAGCTTCAGATATTTATTACTCCGCACTCCAGTCATCTGACAATTCGATGTGCTGTTTTTACTGTTAACAACCAGAGCTGAAATAGGCACTTCCTGTCCTAGGAATCAGAAGAGGGCAAAGTTTGCAGTGTCAGTTAAGTCTCACATACACGATTCTACATTATCTTCTACAACTTGCATCACTTGACATCTTATTGCAAAAGTCTGTCTTGGAAGAAATTGCTAAGTAGACATGGATCTCCGTAGGTTGATTTCCCCCCAACACCGAAGATCCATATACAAAAAAGTTCCGCATTTTCAAGCTGCAACGAGGCGGAACAAAACATGGGGAGGGAGGCAGGGAGGTCTAACAGAAATGCTATCGGTTCCCTTAACTGCTGAAAAAACACCGACTTGAGGGGGAATCTGAACTTTAGCTGGACTGGGCAAAGCATGTGCATCTCAACGAAGCAAAAGTCTCGTTTACACACGCACACCCACCACCCTTTTGCCCCCTTCAACGCCGGACCTTCCTTAAGCCACAAGGAGCACAACTGCCTAAAAGACTTCTTAGCGGGTTTAACCGCAAGGCAACTGAATGGCTGATACATCCGGTCCTCCTCCTCCTCTCCCAGCCTCAACCAATGCAAACTTCAAAGCCTGTTTGCAGCCGCCGGGGCAGATCTCGGGCAGCTCTCTTCAGCCCCGAGGGTCCCACGAAAGTCTCCCCCTTGCCTCGTACGGCAGACGATCTTCCCAACCTTTCAGAGCAGAAACCAAGCAGGGTGGTGGGAAAGAACGGAATCGAGAGAGAGAGAGAGAGAGAGGCAGGCAGGCAGACAAGGGAGAAAAGGCAACGAGGAAGCCACGAAGGAAGAGCCCCGCAGGAGGTCTGGTGCCAAAACAACGCTCCGGGAGAGCAGCACCCAAGACCGCTCGCTGGCAAGATTTTTCCCCCCTGGCAGATCTCAACTCCTTCGAACGAAAGCAGCTTCGAGCCCCATTTTCCACGCAAAGCAGCCCTCAAAGCCTCGCACATTTCCCAGAGTACAGTATTTGCAAACACCCACACACCCTTTCTCTCTATACCACCCGCCAGACCTTCGTTACCTACAGTACTTACGAGGGAGAGGAGGAAGAGGGGACCGGGACCCAGAGAGGACATTCCTCCACCCTTTTAATCTAACAGGCCTCATCCCATACCGGGAGCTCCCGCCGTTCTTAAGTGTCACCCCTCACACCGCCTGACTGAACGGAGAGTCCTTCTCTTCTCCTCCCCACCCGCCCCGTTCCACACACACACACACAATCACGCAAGGGCTTCGCGCTCACCCTGCTCCGACTGAATGGGGAGTCGGTGGCGGCGGCGGAGGGTCCGCGGTCTTCACGGCGGCGGCGCCAGCTCCCGCAGCCGAGGTCCCGGCGTCCTGCAGGAGCGGGTCGTGGGAGCCGGGAAGGAGGAGGAAGCCGCCACGGCTGGGCGACAACGCGGGGCTCCCGGGCGTGGAACGCGGGGCTGGAGGAGCGGGCTGGACGGCGAAGGCGGCCCCGGTGGCGGCGGTGGCGGCTCCGGAGAGGCAGAGAGGAAGCTCGGCGGAGCCGGCGGGCTCCGGCAACCCGTCCAGCTCCACGCTCCGCACTTTGCGTAGCTGCTTCCGCCTCCAGTCCGAGGAGCGCGGCTCTCTGTTATTGCCGCAGCCGGGA